TGTGGACGGTCTCCATGTACTTGCCCTTGTCAAGGACCAACGTACCATTCGTTCGCACTGCTACAACTTCATAAGGGCCACTGAAGAGCGGTGACATCTTGGCTTGAGGTCCCGCATCGTTTCGCAGCAGCACCTTGTCTCCTGGGGCGTAGATCCACTCGCGTCGCTTGTCGTTTTCGCGCTTGTTGTTCTTGGCGACTTGAGCAACCTTGCGCTGGTACTGTTCATCCCAGTTCGTCGTATGCTTCACGTCGAAAAGCATGTCTCGCCCGAAACTGGCCTGGGCCGGAGACGACTTGAGCATTGAGTTGTACGTTGCGCGAAGGGCAAAGGTGGCGTCGTGTAAGAATGCAGCCCACTCCTCCTTGGTGTCGATCGTTTGCGTTCGAAGCTTGTCTCCAATGACACGGTGCAGCCGTTCAATCACGCCGTTCGACTGAGGGTTTCGAGTCGTAGTGGGTAGCGCATGGATGCCATAGCTCTCTAGTAGCTCGAAGAACTCTTTCTTGAACTCGGGGCCTTGGTCGTAGATGACTCGCACAGGCCGTGGGTATCGGCACAACCAAAACCGATCAAAGACGAAAGCCGCGTCGTCACTTGACGCATCGTCCACTGGCTGGATATCCACTAGCCGCGTGCTTGTATCGATCATGGTCATCGCTCGAAACTTTCTCTTTCCGTAGGGACCTATAGAGTCGATTGCAACCTCAAACCACGGTCTCACTGTTACCGTCTTTGCCGGCAATTTGCCGTACTTCACGGTTGGGTGCTTGCTCTTAGTGCAGGGCAGGCAGTTCCGAACGAACTGCAGAATCTTAGACTCCATACCCTTCCAATACAGCGATGTCTTGATTGCTTCGTACATTGCTGCACCGCCTGGATGCAGAAGCCACTCGTGATAGGCTCTGACAATGGGCTCTTGTAGGTGATCCGGTACTATGATGCAATTGTTCCTCGCGTCCACCTTGAGCTTGACGCCATTAATCTCTTTCACGTTCTCGCTAGAAATCGCAGCACTCTCTTGTGCTCGTGCGAGTTGTTGGAGGTTTAACGAGAACACTCCCGAGTCTTCACTCGTAGCTGCAAGTGTAGTTGCATCTTCCGTGTCCTTCCCCAGTTCGGCACCCGGTAGGCGCGATAACGCGTCCGCCACGACATTGTTCTCTCCCTTGATATAGTGCAGCCGGGGTCCGAACTCTTCAATCTCGAGCCGCCAGCGCATCATCTGGATGTTGTTGAACGTCCCGTATGTGAGGTTCAGGTGATCGGTATGGACGTGCAGCTCCTGGCCGAGTAGCATGGTGCGGTACTCACGTAATACCATGAGAATACTCAGCAGCTCGAGACGGTTGGCGGGGTATTTGCGCTGCGTATCGGTGCACTTCTTACTCCAGAAGGCGAGCGAACGACCATGCTGGGCGATAACGGCACCGAACTGGTATCCGGACGCATCCGTGTGGATGTGGAATGGTTCGCCGTACGCCGAAAATGAAAGCTCCACAGTGTGCGCCATCACGGACTTCATCTGCTCGAACGCTTGCTGGTGAGTCTGATCCCAACGAAAGTTGTGCTGCGGCGACATCAACGCCGTGATCGGAGCCAGGATGTAAGCACGTCTTGGCCACATGTCCCGATAGTAATTCACCATACCGATGAATCGACGTAGCTGACGCCGTGTGCGCAGGGCTTCTATCGCCTGTATGGCCGACACCTTGTCATGAAGTGGCTTCATCCCGCTTGTGCTAATGTGGTAGCCCAGGTACGACACGCTATCCGTGCACAACTTAGACTTACGAGGGTGAATAGTGAGTCCATTGTCACGAAGACGCTGAAAGACGATGCGAAGATGCCTTAGGTGCTCCTCAAATGACGTCGACATCACAATGAAATCGTCCAGATACACCCACACGAACTCCAGGTCTCCGAGCGTCCTGTTCATAACCGCTTGGAATTCATCAGGGGCAGTAGCGACGCCCATCGGCAGCCGGTTGAACACAAACTTGCCGAACGGAAACACGATAGCGGTGGCAGCTCGACTGCGCTTCGAGAGAACGCGAGCATAGTATCCCATCGGTATATCAAAAACCGATATAAACTTGCACTGCTGGAACTGGCGAAGCAGCTCTGGAATGACCGGCAGTGGGAAAAACCTGCGCTGCAGCAGCGCATTCAGCCGTCGAAAGTCGCAAAGTAGTCGGATGGTGCCGTCTTTCTTCAAAATCGTAAACGCTGGCGATGCCCATGGGGAGCTGTTGTCGGCTGTCATTACTTCAAGGCGCACAAGCCGCTGCACCTCTTGCTTAGTTGCTGCCAACCGGATCTGTGGTACTGGAAAGGGTCGGCACGCAAAGGGCTTTGCATCAGGATCAAGTGGTAGCTCGTACGGATCACCTTTGATTTCTCCAAGCCTCCCTGACGCAACATCGTCAAACTCCTTCATCAGCGCCAGCATGAGTAGAAGCTCGTTCTCTGAGAGCTTAGTACCGTCAATCATCAAGTTAAAATCCACCGGTCCGCTGTTTTCCGCCACAGAGATCTCAACTTGGCTAGATTCATCGCTCACATGCAGTCTTAAGCCGGGCTTCCATCCGCGCGCTCGCAACTTCGGCATAGGCACACGAAGACCATCCCACTCGAGCTCCTTTGTCGAGAACAACAGGTCAATTCCTTGAGTCGCGAAGAAGTCCTTCCCCAGCATGACCGGGTACAGGAGCTGTGAGGCGACTCGAAATTCATGAGTGCAAACTCTTGACGTCGAGAAAATGGGCATGTTTATGGCTGCCTTTGCCACGTGAGTTGTCTTGCCAGTCGAGCCGTCAGCTTGCTTGAAGGTTGCCTCTTCCTGTTGCAACACAAGCTGTTCACGAACTCGATCCACCACGCTCTGGTCAATCGCAGACCGCGAGCAACCCGTGTCGATCAAAGCAGAGAACGTAACTTCACCAATGCGGACTTCCGTCACCATCACTGGTTCATCGCTGCGATTGGGTTTTTCTGCTCTTGTTTTGGCCAGCAGAGGCGCCATCGTTGAGCTCGTCCTGCCTGCTTCCACTCCGTCTTCCTCTTTGTCGTAAGTCATTGCGTTGAATTCATCGCCTTGGTAAAACCGAAGAGCGTTCAGCTCCTCCTCATGCTGTTTCTGCATGGTCTCCATCCTGGCAGCCATCTGGTTGATCTTTTCCTGCATGGCAGCAAATTGATCACGCCCGTGGCGAGGTTGTTGCTGCTGGCCGCCCCGTGGTCGATACGCTGGAGACGACGGATCCCGGAAACACTGCTCCTGGGTGTGGTTATTGCGCTTGCAGAAGGAGCAATACTTGCCTCCTTGCTGTCCTTGCTGTGCTTTTTCCTGGCCACCCTTCTGTCCGCCTCGTCCCGGACGTGCATTCCTTCGTTGCTGCTGTTGGTGGCCTCCGCCATTCTCACGAGATTGAGCTGCGTTACTGTTCTTGTTGTCGCGTGGGGGCCGGCGTCTGTTGCGGAGGGCTTCCGCTTCATCTTCTACTCGCTCAATGAGCTCGAACTGCTGCTCCAGTCCAGCGAAGTCCCAGGAGCGTGATAGTCGTGACACTTCAATCTGCCACTCGATCGGCATTCCGCTTTTGTACATGCGGACACAGTCGGCCTCAGGGATGGCTTCATTCTCGTCGATGATGGTAAGGTAGCGATTCAGCTTTCTGAAGGCTCGGCTGTATTCTCTAACGGACATGGACGCCGTCTTGCGCAGGTCCGTCATCCCGTGAATGATCAAAGTCCGAGTTCCGGGAGGACAGTGAGCCATTGTCAATCGTCTTAAGGAGTAGATGGCTACATCGACGTGGTCGAGTTGCTCCTCGGCAACCACATCGTTGAACATCAGAAGGTCGTCATCGAAGAGAAGGACCTGCAAGTCCTCGACGAACGCGAACTGGTCCTCCTCTGTGTTCTGGTACCCCATGAAGACGTAATATTCCGACAGCCGTAACAGCCACTCCAGCCAGTCCTTCCAGGTTCCATCTCGGAAGACCGGCACGCGCTTCTTAATCGTCGACCCGTTACTCTTCACCTTCTCGAAGATCACTGTCTCCTCCATCTTGGTGTGGCTCATGGGTGGGCGCTGTTGACTTGTCGGTAGCAAAACTTGGTTGTGTTTTTGCTATAGCAAAATGTCACCAGTTGCTAGTGGTGATTGTTGTTGTTAAAGGTAAAATGGGAACGGATGTATTGGAGTAGCTTAAGCACGGCCTCTGCTATCTGCTGCGCAAGCTCCTAAAGCTTGTGACTTGACTGGAGAGCGTTCACTAGCTCTTGCTAGCCAACCATGCAGTGGTTGAAGTCGTTCCACTTTGGCGCGCGTCACAGATGCGCGCGTCACAGGTCGCTCTGCTGACAAGCGTGATTGTTTAAACGGCGCCAGCATGGCGTGCTGTCCAGCAATATATTTGAAAGTATATTATTGGCTAAAATTACAAATAACATTCTTACTTTTGCACTGTAAGGGGTCGAGTTTTTGTGGGGGGTTGAGTTTCACCGTCGTTGTCTGTACATGTACACATGGTCTACAGTACAATAAGTCCTGGGAGTCGAGGGGTTAAGCTGAGCCATATCATTTTTTTTACATTTTAGAGCTTCTTCGTGCAAGTCAAGCTGATGTTTTGCTATCTAAAGCCTATACTCGATTAACACACGGTCCTTTGGTGGAATGCGAAGGTACGGCACGTGCTAGTAGTACTGTTGCTGGTGAAACTAGGCTTTCGCTGGGAATGCAGCTGGAACTGATTTAAAGAAATTGCTTTTAGACACCTGCCCGAATGTAATGCGTTCCAGCGTTATGGCGGTTTAAGGCCTGGTATTGACGTTAAGCTGATAACTTGTGTCCAGATCCCGTCGTTCACACCTATATTTTTATTAACTTCGTGCAAGCCGCAAAGCTCGGTTTTTCTAACTTAAGTTTCAAATACCGGTATATGCAACAACAATAAGTAACGTTAGCCGACCCTTTATAGCATCACCTCTCGGTCATGTCCACAAGTCCTCACCGCCACGGTCCTGAAGACACCTCTGATATTCCTTCTGCGCACGAACAATGTGAGCAAATGCGTCGTGAGAGTGAAGAGTTGTGTTTCCTAAGGCAACTCAAGCCCGCGCATACGAAAGCAGTAGCAGCACTGAAGCTGGCCACCGACAATTACGGCAAGAACTCGCTTCAACTCGTCCCATTTTACCTCGTGCTAGTCGAAATTTCGCTGCGAGAGAGGCAACTCAAACCTGCCGAGGAAGTGCTCTCTTTAGTGAATTGGCTACTGGTCAAAGATCGTAAAGTCGGTGTCGACAACTCGACAATACAAACTGGTGCTGGGGCTTCTGAACCGGAATTACCAGAAGAGACGAAGAATCTGCTTGTGATTCGAATGAATAAACTCTACAGTCTGTTGCATCTTGAGTACGGCGCCTTCTCTGAAGGTCTTCAACGTGCAGCTCATGGCGCCTACCACTGCTCTCTACTCTTTGGCCCCGATCATCTGTACACGTCGGAGCTTTACGTCTGTCTTGGCCTGATCTTCCACCGCATGCAACGTGCAGCTGTCAGACAACAGCAAGCGCAGCCTCAACAAGAGTCTCAACAGCAACAACGTGAGCTACAGCAACGTAATCAGCAAAACGACAGTGCACTTGCCATGCTGGACAAAGTCGTGGATATCTGGTATCGGTTCCTAACTAATCCGCCTGAAGACACGGCTGCTTGGATGCTGGAACATCGACGTCTGCGTGTCCAAGAAGCCAGCTCCATGCTTCAACAGATTGTCAGTATCCGCCAGAATCTGCTGGGTTCCAAGCATGTCGCTACTGGCGAAGTGCAGTACACTTTGGGATTGCTGTTCCTCTTCCTAGGGGACCACATACAGGCGAAGGCTTTCGTGAAACAGGCTCTAGATATCTACATCAACGCACTGGTAGGTTATCTCTATTACTATGTTCAAACTTTGAACTGACCGCCGGATCTTGTCTTGTAATGTAGGGACCTGAGCATCCATCGACCGTGGACGTAATCGGCGTACTGCATCAGCTGGACGAAGCTGGAGTTTAGATGCCAGTCTAATCTCAAGATCTGCAACATTTAAGTACTTTGGCTTGAGGATTCCTTGCTCGCTTCAGCTGCCTTTTGCTCCTTGTGCTTGTGGTATGTAATAGTACACACTTCACGTTCACTTGGCACGATGAGGTCGAATGGATCTGGACTCTCGAAGTATAGATCGCCATACTTTTTCTAAAACGATATCCACACATACATCATTAGCATCTTCCGTCTGACAGACCCCCTGGTTGTCTACAAACCTGATCTGCCGGACGTCCGCGAAGCCAAATTCTCCACGCGTGCAACATCATTCGAGGTGCTTCATCCTCTTGTGAGCCGTAGGTGACATCACCTGCGATAGGAAAGCCATGGTGTGCCATGTGGAGTCGCAGTTGGTGTCGACGGCCGTTTAGTGGACGCAACAACACCTTCGTCACAGGTTCTCCCTTGTATATTGCGTGGCCCAAGACAAAGCACATGGTGGTCGACTGCTTGGCTGCAGTATCCGTCTCAGTACCCACCAACATGCGGAAGACTCCAGTACTTCGGTGTGGTTCAATGACTGGAGCGTCGAATACATAGGCGACCGGCTCGTTCGCTTCCTCGCTGTCTTCTCCATCGAAACTCTCGTACTTGCGCTTGCGAGCGAGTCGGATCTTTTCCTGATTTAGAAACTCGCTGAACTCCTTTAGAAAACGTCGCTTGTCTGCCTTTGCCTTCTCCGTGTATGCGCCCTTCTCCTCCTTCGTCAAATCGTGCCACGTCATCTTCGTGAATGCCAACTCCGCGGGTGTCAACTCCCGTGCTTCAGCTCTATTACTGGAGCCCCGTACTTCACCTCTTGGGTGTTCTTGACTCTTACGCAGAAGCTGAGCTTGCTCCATCGTAAACAAGTTCGGGCCATGTCGGACTCCACGAGGGTATCCAGGCGTTTTCTGGTGTGCTCTGGAGCCTCGCTGCTGGTTCCTCAACCTCTCCATCTCCTCCATGTCTTGAATCAACAAACCTAACTTCGAAAAGGTGCAGGCTTTCGCAGGCAAAGCAGCGGTATCCACGCTCTCCGCCGGATTGAACGGCAAATGTCCTCTTACTACCGCCAAATATTCCTTCTGCACCTGCTTTTCGCGAAAAAGTCGACACCCTGTCGCTGTCGCGCTACACAACAAAGTTCAGCTTTTTTTCCAGCTTTTCTTCAAAATCTCCACTCACTCTTTATTCACTCCAACAACCAAGACACCCGACGTCGCTGCAAGTTCAGTCATCACTACATTGTCAGTCTTAGAATTCTCAAATTCTACTTTATAGTAGTTCATACCAAAGTCCAATTGATGAATCCATCGGAACTTTTCCACTTGAGGAAAATCCCTCGCCAACTAGCACCGTAACGAGCAAAATGATTTCAGTTATTTGTATCATAGCTGCATTTTCTTCACCCATCACCAAATTGCAACATGCTTCTCACCGCTTTCTCCAATGTCACGTCAAAAGCGCCGTCCATCCGCACGTCGGGGCCCTTGTTCAGCACCACAAAGTGCTCGTCCCTGCTCAGAACACGAAGATGCAGCTGATCCTGCGTCTTAGGACCTCCTCGCTCATTGTCTCCACTGTTGGTAGCACTATTTACGGGCACTAGGGGCGGCTGGTCTTCTGGTAAATGACTCTGTTGCCTCCGAACTATGGTTCCTATTGGGTTATCGACGTTTTTGGAGCCGTTCGATAGGCGATTGTAGCAGGAGGAAGACGCCAACCCAGCAGATATACTGGCATTACTGGAAAAAGTGCTCATGGCTCGCCACGAACGCAGTGGAAGACGACAGTAGCGAGTCAACCGGAGGGTCATGCACACCAGCAAAAACTGGATGATGAGCTATAAATCTAGTGTTCAGATGGTGTGGTACATCAAGACTATTTCTTAGTACCGTAGATGACAGAGCAAAACGCATGTTATTAATAGTCGTCAAGGACAGAGTTTACTGGAACTCTCGATTTGGCACACTTACACTCGATGGAGCGATTTCGACGGGGTTAATTCGGCAAGTTGGAACCAGTCTGGAATTTCCGTAAGTGCTGTATATGTTGCTGGATATTATAGTCATGAAGACCCGGGGAGCAAGTACCGCAATTATGCGCCGCGGGAAGCGGAAGAAGACGTGAAACCGTGGGAGACATGAGAAGTGTTCAATTGAAATTTTAAGTGTTCAAAGCGATTGTGTTAGACCAGAATGGAGCGTCGAACCCGAGTGGGCAACGGAGTGGTGACAGCAGCAGCATCGACGACTAAGACTTCGCAAGATGGCAAAGCGACTTGTTGCAGTTCGACACGAGAGGTGCATTGAAGATTCGTGGCGACAAGCACAAGCGCAGAAGGGAGCGTGCTGGGCGGCCTGACAAGTGAAGCGCCCCTGGCAAGTGCATGCAGTGTAGTTAGTTTTTTCTTTTCAGAGGACTCCCAATCAATCACTTTTTAACTCACCTTCTAGTGCGCACTTCCTCTCCTCCACCACTCGACCACCGACCTTCCTCTACGGCCAAGTTTGAACAGATTGCATGCGGAGACGGGGAGGGGAGGCTGTGCCCTGGAAGCAATTTTACTCTGGAGCTCGCTTTAGATCTGCTTGCGAACATGTCGTGCGTGAGCGCCCTCGAAAATACGAGCTTTTCACAGGGAACTGCCAACAAAGACTAAGTGTATCACAAACCGTGTCCCGAAATAATCATTGTATTGGAATTTCAATACAATATTTTACGATAAATAATTTAGTTTTGAGATGCCAGATATCACTTTCAGTAAATTATTTTCCCAAGGTCTGGTTCTTCGTATACTTTTCCGTGTTTTTACCTTTAAAACCTTTTAGGCTTATTTTGGCTGCAATTATTTATTTTCGCTGTTGATTTCAGAAGAACAATATCTTATTTCTAAGGGCTGTGATAAAAATATTGCAGTGTTATTATCGGAGCACCTGCATGTGGGTATGATCCCGCCGTATTCTATTTGTTTCCGCCCACTGGTTGTCCATCTGACGAAGCTTGGTTTTGTGAAGAAGAGGTGGACGAGAGATTTTTTCACGAATCGAGGAATCAGCTACGAACACGACGTCGGCTTAGTCAGCACTCATTGCAGACGAGAGTCCGAAGATATTCGCGGGTACAAGAACAATGGATTGCTAGTGTGAAGCAGTGCTTCATGTGATAGTGAGCTGTCCTCTGGTAATGAAAAATTCGAGCGCAGAACTCATGTACATTACTGTACGGTTTCGATCTCACTCGAGCGGTGAGTGATACTTTGTCGAATGTTTTCAGGCAATTCCAGGTCAAAAAATGGCTCGATCGTACGAAAAGCCGCCCGCTTCAGTTGTGAGTTGTGCTTGAGAAATCTTGCTGCGGCCTCCTCTCGACAGGTATAAAACGCAGTAGAATCGCCACCGATTTTCGTCGACTGTGTAGCTAAATGATTGTAGACTAAAGATTGCACGTAGCTGATCTCCTTTAGTCGCTTCACATTTTGCACCAACGAAAACATGTCCGTGCTTGCGTTTAGCATTTCAATGGCCTTGGTAGCCGCAGGCGTTGGCTCCTTCGCTCCTTCATTGCGTCGTTTGATACTTGCAATCAAGGTTTTTGCGAGCACTAGCAGACATTCTCCGCGCAGATCGATGCTGCCGTGTTCCATCACCAGAGGCATCTGATCGTTGAGAAGTGAATGAGCATCTTGAAGCTTGCCCATGGCAATATAAACTTCAGCCATGACAACATGAGCCTCTGCTAGCAACAGGTCATAGTGGTGACTTGTGCAGATGTCCACACCTTTCAGTAGTGCATTGAGAGATGCGAATGGCGCATGCGGCGCAGAGGCTTGAAAGCGAGTTCGACTGGTAGCGATCAGCACTTGGGCATGCAGATACGTGAACCCATGCTCTCTACACGTCACTTCGATGCATTCGAGTAGCTCTAGACTTCGCGGGTAGTCGCCGACTGCAGTCCACAGTGCTGCCTTCAGCAGGAGAGCATCCAGATAAGCAGGGAAGTCTTTTCCGTCTGGAGAAAACGCAAGTATCGCGTTTAAATGGACTTCCGCGCGTGCGAACTCCCCCCTTTGCAGCGCCCACAAGAAGAAGAGGCGGTGTACTGTCCTTTGGTACACCATATCATACAGTAAATAGTGTCGCGCGGCATGGTGACCTCCATCAGCGACGCCCACAAGGAAGCGAAGAGCTCGCTCGTATACGTTCGTGCGATCTGTCGTCTGTGTGAGACTCGACATCGCCATCTGACTCACAGTAAGCGCAATTTCTCCTATACCAGCCGAGTCTTCGTAGCACAAGAGATGTATACGATTGAATACTTCCTCAAGTGAACGCTGACCATAGAGACTCCACCCCACTGCTGCTGAGATCGCGACTTTCCCACTAAGACTCCACACTGTATCGAGAATTGCCTCTGTAGACTTGATCCAGTCCATCCCAGTACCACCAGACTTGTTAGAAGAGTCAGTAACAGAAGCCACGCCAGCTTGCAGTTGTAGTGCCACCATCGTTCGCGTACCAGAGTTTGACATATTGGCAGCAGGCGTCGCTATCGACGCAATAGATTGCAGTGATTCCTCCAGACGCGACCAAACGTGCAGTGGCCGAGGAGCCGGCGCTTGAGCAGCCATCCGATGCGGCACAAAGTGTGACGTCGACGCCAGTGTCTCTGACCTCGCTGTACTGCCACGCAACAAATCGCTCTCCACTTCCGTCAATGTCGCCAGTACTTGCAATGAAGGCAAGCGTAACTCTTGAGCGCGATCGAAGCAGCTACTAACAAGCTGCAGTACAGCATCCTTGGTGTTCCCCATCTTCTGGTTAATACGAATAAGCCACGCCAACGCGAACGCCACACAGATGTGATCTCCATGGTGCTGAGCTACTCGAATCGCTTCTTGGATACTTTCTTGCGCTGCAGTACAGTGGTCGAATAGTATCTGCAAGCCAGCCAGATTCAACGCAGCATACTGGATGCCACTGCCTCGGAAATGCAGCCCAGAGCCCCCTATCAACCCTGTCGCCGCAGAGCTATTGCCATCGCTATCACTACCCACTGCACGAGAATTCTGACGAGGGGAGAGGACGTCATGGTACTGGTGTAAGCTGTCGAGTGCACCCTGGTAATCGCGATCATTTAGAAACGATAGATACCTCGCGAACAGCACGTTAGGGTTGGATCCGTCCATCTTGTTGCGAAGCAGTCGGAGCTGTTCTTCCATTGACTGGTCTTCGATATGCTGCGAGCGTTGAGCTGTTCGTCCTCCTTCCATACCGCGGATCATGTCACTTAAGATGTAATTCAGCTGGTCATTCGACCACACTGCCGGGTCGTTGACTTCCCGAACAGCGTCCGGTGTCAGTAGCTTGTCCGTCAGTACGTAGGAGTCAAGTCTTGTAGGTGCAGGCGTCATCAATGTGTTTTGTCGCGTACTCTGAGACGGTGTAGCGCTTCCAGAGTGAATCGGTGACAGCAACAACTCGTCATCGTCCATCTTGTCTTCATTCCACAGATTTTGCGACGCCGGTGACCCTACAAGCTCCAAGCTGTTGTCTTTCTCCTCTAGTTTCTTGTCCTTCTCCATATCTTCTCGGAATTGTTCCAGATACTGTTGTACATCGTCGAAAAGTCTCGATAGACCGTCGAACAGAAGGCGGTTCACCTCCAGTAAGAAGCTGCGTACGAAGACACCCAGTAAACTGGTACGGACCAGCGTGGCGTTGGCGGAGTCCACGTCTATTTCCACATCCTCTTCGTCGCGCACGGTCTGTAGTGGCGTCACACACTCGGAGATCTGCTCCACGACGTTGCACACGGAGTCGGGGCTCTTGATCTGCGTCAGGATACTCACGAGCTGCCACGACACCTGCTCGAAGTCCTGTTCATTGTCTAAACTGATCTCCAATCGACGTAATAAACTCTTGAGGGTCGTGAATCCTGTCCGACTCGAAGTGTCCGGATTAGTTTTCAAAGGATGCTGGATCTCGAGAGTTAGAAAGCGAGCCAAGGCGTTGAGCGACGTCCTGCTGATGACTGGTGGGGCAGGCTGCGTGTGTGGCGCGTCAACCAGAGAAGCAACCGAGTCCTCTCCGGCGCTGCTCAGCTTGGCATCTTGCTGCTGCTGTCGCACATACTCCGATACTAAGAGACACACACTCAGCAAGTAACTATTTGCCTTCCACTTGCGCATGATGCGAACTACATGTACTTCATGTAAAACAGTACGATATGTACCATAGAAGTGGTACAAAGTTTAGAGAAAAACTCTAATACATCATGAGTCACCTGCTTTACGAAGTTTTCGTTTGATCGCTATTTAATATGACTAGGTTGCTCGGTGAACATAATATTTACCGCGAAGGTTCGGAGGGGCTGCGAAGTCTGGATTTCCCCCGGTGTCGCTGGGAGCGCTCTCCGCCCGGAAGCTCAATAAATTTCGTGCAGGTCGTGTACATCTTTTGCTGGCTCGGGTTTTGCATTTGATTCGATTTGTGAATTAGCCTTTGACCTGCATTGGCCGTCAACTTTTTATTATATTTAAGGCTGCTGGTGGTCAATATCACAGCACCATGGCCACCCATGTGGTGCTTGACTTTCGTCTAGAACGAAATGCCCGCCTGCTTGCAAGTGACTACGTGTACATCTCGTTTGAAGATTTTTACAAGAGTGCTGGCATCAATGATAACCAAGTTATTGAGCTGGATACAATATGCTATTTAACAGCCAAAATACGGGTTCGGCTTGGTGCTGAACAATTTCATAACTGTGCAAGGAACCTCTACTGAAGATAGCTCGCTGCGTTTTAAGCTTTTAATTTTAAATATATTCTACTTGCAGTGGTTATTTTATTCTGTAGGATTTCTGCTTGACGAAAAGAATCAAAGGATAAGATAAATATTGTGTTTTAGATAATGTAGTACGTTTCTGTATCGATTCCGATTTTGCAGAATTTTTTGGAGTCTCACGATGGGATTGATGGGATCAAGCTACTCAAGGGGGCATACCTGACATTATGAGCAAAGATGTCTTCACGGAGCAAGCGTATGCTCAGTCGGGTAGCGCAGGTGTCCATCGTGTTTTTGGTGCTTTACTGCTTTACAGCAGTCGTGATCTGGATAAAATGGGCCGAGATGAAAGATCTAAATTTCGAAGCTCGAGATATTACTACACTTGACGTCGAAGATGAAAGTGGCGAATACCCTGATCAAGCATGGAAAAAGAACGAGTTTCAGTGTCTCGGCTGGGTGGAGACCGATGACGATGGAGACGAGTCGGGGGCAAGAAGAGAGTGCTGGCAGCGGATTCAAGCTGGAGATGCAGGGTACTGCGAGGTGATGAACACTAGCTCTGGTCAAGTGCTCCGCGTGATGCAAACAACCAGTCTTTCTCTCAAAGACGACGCTCGATTCACGTGTGAATTGGCACAATCGTTTTCCTCGTTTCGCTTCCGTGCCATGGCATATCGTCACGATCCACCGATGACATTAGACCCACTCAACTCACAAGGAATTATCATGGCAGTTTACGAAAATGTCCTTCCTAGTGCATTCGCTAGTGTCCGTCGTCTACGGGATGTCGGATGTACACTTCCAATAGAGCTCTGGTTTCGTCACAATGAACTACTAACGGACAACCCCGTGCTGTTACTGCTGACTGAAAAGTACGGACCGATACACCTACGTCAGGTATTCGACGAGCGCATCTTTGGCTTCAACGTAAAGGTGCATGCTCTGTACTACTCACACTTCACCAGCGTCTTGCTGCTCGACGCGGACAATTTCGCCGTAAAGAATCCAACGCCTCTGTTCTCTTCTCGAGCGATGAAGCAATACGGTGCTGTTTTTTGGCCTGATTTCTGGCACCCTGGGAACTCAATCTTCAACCTTCATGCTCAAAGTTTGGTGTGGGAGCTGCTAGGACTCGAATACGTGGATATGCCCGAGCAGGAGAGCGGTCAGGTATTGGTGGATCGAGCGGTGAGCAAGCCAATGCTTGAGCAACTGATGTACTACGCGACGCACACGCCCAATCTGTTTTCGAAATTAAAGCTCGTGTGGGGCGACAAAGATCTCTTCCGCTTGACATGGCTGCAGATGCGAAAGAAATTTTACTACAACGACCGTCGCGTTCCTGGAACTCTTGGAATCGTTAACCATGACCGTCGACGCTACTGCGGAGTTACGATGGTGCAGTACGATTTAAATGGCCAAGACATGCTCTTCTGGCACCGAAACACTATCAAACTGAGTGGGCGAGATGATCGACGGGTGTGGCACACGCTACAAGAGCTTCATGCTGTAGACAGTAGCTGGCTCCCCAAGATTCAGTCTTTCAACGGCAAAAAAGTGTTCAATGAAACGTCATGCTTTGGAGTGAAGCGATTTGAGATGAATGGTTTTGTGCAAATGAAGCGCGTTGATGAGCTGGGAGATATTTTGGCCTCGCTGGAGAACACGTTGATTATATATGCACGACAGGCATACGAGCTGCTTGACAACGACGACTTGGACTAGACTCGGCGGACATCTGCAACAACATTTGAGACCGCGCAAAACAAAATGATGCTTACGAACCTAAGTACAAATCGCGATTTAAGCACTATAAACGAAAGCCTCTATCTCTTGAGCCCTTATACGCTACAGAATGCTTAAAACGGAAGAAGTTGTGGTCGCTCAAAAATATTATTCCCATTTATGGCCCTCGAAATGAAGATACATTTAGGAGTGTTGTGAGCTCAATATTTTTTTCAATTTTAAATAATAGCAATTGAAAAAGGGTAGTTTTACAGTTTTTCGATGAAAATTTACGCCAAATGTCACAGCTCTGTTTAAGTGCAAAATTCAAATGGCGAACTAAGGGGTTAGCCCCTTAGTTCCCGTATGTTGATGCTCCAACATAAGGGATGTATACCCTAATTCACTTCTGTTGCACATTTTATTTTATGTTGGAGGTCCAACATAAGCAAAATTTATACCTGAATTTTGTATGGGGCAACGGTCCATATCCTTGTTCCCCGCTTTAGTGAAATGAAGTCATTGATATGAGTGTAAAAATGTCAGATGCACAGGCTTAGGTTTAGTTTTATTGAATGAGTTAGAAAAGGGAGGTACACACCCACTATCGAGCGAGTGGCCACCAGCCACCAACTGCCTCACTCTTCAAAACGACGGCCGAGAGCAACATAATTGCGCCAACACCCAAGACACCGCGCCACCACCTCACCGAGCAAGAAAGTCGCCTCTGTCGCGAGGCTCTGTTAAGTGAGCGTCACGAGCGCCGCATTCGACGGACAGAGCAGAAGAGCGGCAGCGATGGAGCAGGGCAGACGAAGGCGAAGAAGGCGACAAGGAAGAAGGCTGCCAAGCGCACAGCGGCAGATATGGAGGTGGCGCAGTACAAGGGTCTGTATATTCCTTCAGCAAGCGCGCAGCTTGCAGACACGGCGGGCGAAAAAGAGGGCTCGACGATTGCTGAAGTGAAGGAGACCATGGTCCTAGAGACAACTGCGATAGCGGTTGCGATGTAGGTGGAAGAAGACCACGAGACGGCGGTGACAGAAGTCGTCGCGGACATGGTTTTGAGCATTGAGACTGCGCTGCCTGCCCAACAGTCTGGTATCACGTTTGCTACTACTGATTTCAGTGCTGAAAAACGAAAGCGTAGTATGCAAGTGCCTATAAGAGAGCATCGCCGCGCTCTCCTACAAGAAGACAGCTATGACGACGATGACAAGTTGTGTTTTGTTCGTTTATCCAACTCGAAGGATTGTGGCAGACAACACATTTAACATAATATCCGACATTATTCATGTATGGCGAACAGAGAAGGCAAGGTGACGAAGACGTTAGTGCTTACGAAGCAGACGTTGTGCACGGTGTATCTGCGTGTGTCATTGACACAGGCCCTAACTTTATGGACGAAGGAGCTGACGAATGCTCAGGGCTCAGCTCCGATGAGGACCCAGAGCTTCGTGAGGAACCTGAAGACGAAGAGGATGCTGATGACGATAGTTGGGACGGTGATTGGGACATTGGAGAGCTGACAGATGAAGATTCGGACCACGAGCTCGAGGAGCTTCCTAGCACGGTGTGGTTGTCCGCAGCGAAGAACGCACCCCTGATCACTGCAATGCGTACCGATGGCTGGGAATATGGTACGTTATGTTGGCCGAATCCACATAATCCTTTCGTTTTGTTTCTGACTTAACATAAATGCTAACATAGTTTTTGCTCTTGTGTTTTGTTTCTAGATGCGACTAAATTTGGACCAGACCTGACGTATGCTGGGTTGTCGGATGGGCCATACGGACCAAGTGTGGAAACATCTTGTTTTGAGCCAGCTTGATAGTACCTTGCGGAGGCACCAGTACCTCGCGCCTGTTCACTTTTTTTTTCTTTTTCGTTGTGTTCACTCCAGCAGTGTAACCTGATCTATCCGTCTGTATCGTCCCCGTTAGATACATCCGATAATGAAGCAGCTCCAGCGCCAGCTTGACCGACATGTAGAAACGGTCGGCGACCACTAATCTCCATGGGGACGTCGGTGGCGGAGGCAAGAGAGCTTTTATGTTTCGAAGTACAGCCGCTTCTCCAGTGTTGTTATCCTTTGGAGCAGGAGTACGTAGATGTGGCTTCGCCCCACAATAAATCTCAATCCTAGCAGGCAAACACATCAACAGAGACGATTAAGTTAATATTATGTTGTATCAACACATGGGGCAGGATTATTATGTTGGACAAGTCAGCATAAGTACTTGGGCCAAAAAAAGGCAAGCCGAAGCTTGCCGCACAGTTACCTCATGCAGTACGCGGTCTTGGCACACGCAGCGACAAACACCTTCGTCCCCCACAGGTGGGGCTTGTCCTTGTTGAAGATCCTCATAGGATTGTACCGCGAGCGCGAAGGCAGCATAGCTTCATCGAAGCTAATGACGGGGGGGGGGCTCTGTATCCAGGAGCAAATGTTCGCTGTAGCACGCCGAGCACCGGTCAAATCTTCTACGCTCGGTCCGTACGGGCTTGTGGCGACTTGCTGCTCGGAAAAATGTAGATATACCATAATGTGAAAAAAAGCGATTCTTTTTCATCACGAGACTGAAGCGGTTTGCCGGTTGAACTCCCACTTTCTTTGTTGACAAATGCGCTGCAATGCATTTCCGGATGGGGACCAACATACGTGCAATCAGCAATGTCATAACTTGAAGGACTTCGTAAGTTTGTACTTCTTCAACTGCTGACAACCGCCGCCTGATCTCAGCAAGATCTTCTGCCTCGCCACCACTACGCTGTTGCTGTCGGCAAATTGAGCGGGTCCTCTTAGGGATTGACTGTGTGTGATAGCGGTTGCTTTCGACAGCAATTTGGGACCAAATCTTCGGCGGCAGGAAAATGAAGAGCAATGCCAGCGGATCGTCCCCAACGCGTAGCACGCTGTCAGCTAACTGCTGCAATGTGGATGGCCCGTAACCCGGTGCACCTGCTCTCAAGGGGCAGCCGCCGAACCGGCACCGTGAGTACGTACTACATGCATTAGGTTCCTATTTGGTTGTTAGCACTAATTTTATTTGTATTTTAGTGAGACGCATCCACGGTGAAATGACGCCGGTGCCGGCTCCAGATCTTGTTCGCGACTACCACCGCTGGATGGATGGAGTCGACGTTCATGATCAGCTCCGGGTGCAACGTTACAGCGTGCAACTTTGCTACAAAACACGCAAGTACTACAAAACTTTGTTTCTGGGGCTTCTGGACATGGCGCTCGTGAACCTCATCGACACTATCGAAAGGTGAGCAGCAGGCGCCCGCCAAAACACTTCTCATTTTTCGAGGAATTGATGGAGCAGCTACTGGCAGTAGATTCAATCGAAACGTTTGACGAGATTGAGGTAAGCCAAATGTTGACCAGTCAACATAACCTCATCTGCTTCAGCATTCTTCCAACATAACAACTAACTTATGGTGGGCTTGACTGGATTGGTGCAGCAAGCGACATCTGCGCAAGATAGAACTGCCCCCTCGCCGGCAAGAGCAGATTCAGCACAGCTACAAGGAAGCGCATCGTCAGCTATCGACGGTCATTGTTTAGAGGAAAACCCAGATACTGTCGATTGTGAGCAGGGTGTGAAGCGACGCCACCGATCATGCAAAGTCTGCGCCATCTACAAGGTCAAGCCTCGCAAGTTTACGAAACACTTCTGCCCGGAGTGCTCGAACGGAAACAAACGGTGCGTAGCTCGCTTGGTACCCTTACCATAACCTTTGGCTAGCTCGATTTGATCTAGTAAATACCTATGCAACGTTCCGCGTGAAGGCAGGGTCAGTACGTGCTTCAGCATTTGGCATGCAGCTTGGAACAGCGGCAACGACATTCCGAGCGACCTACTGCAAGAGCACAGGACACGTGAACGACCGCCAGCGTCGCGGCCAGGCAAGAAGCGGAGACGCAGGCAGCAGGTAGACGAGAGCGGAGCAAGTGCTGATGCTGCTGCTGGGGAGTCGAGCGACAAGAAGAAGATGAAGCGGTGGAGGAGGAGGCGTAGTGGTTGCGCCGTCTACGAGAGGTCGTAAATGTCTATGCAAGGAGCAATCAATTGATACAGCACTTGATCGTTCTTGTTATTGGTTATAATAAATGAACTCACCGCTGCTGGACGTATGCAACAAAACAAAGATAGACTAATCAACAAACAGTGCATATCTTATGTTTTTTTATACAGCATAGTCGCATATGATCGTCTCAATGTACTACATAAACCCTCCTTTATGTTGGAGAATCCAAACTATACACACTGGCATGTCATTGCTACCACCCCGAACCCGCGCCAAGATATCCGGACTTATTTGAAAACCCATACAAATCCCTTTATATATGTATATGGGACGAGGTCAAAATATACCCTCATATTTTAGGCCGGGAACTAAGGGGTTAAGCTCGATTATCTTGATAACTCTAAATGGTTCGTAAGCATCATTTTGTTTTGCGCAGTCTCATTTTTCAATGTTCTCGGGATTTTATCCAAAGCTCAATTTACATTCAAGCTGAGCTGGAAAAAGGCTGCTCTCTTGATAGATTTAACCTAGTGCTAAGTACTGTGTTCGGAATTTTGTCATCTTGCAGTCTTACGCTCACTTCAGCAAAGTTGTGCAACCAGCGATGTTTGTCATTATAGCAGGTTAAGTTTGACGTCCTGCAACATTACGCCAACTAAACAAAGTTGTGCAACCAGCGATGTTTGTCATTATAGCAGCTAGTGTTTGATGTCCTGCAGCATTACGCCAACTAAACAAAGCTGTGCAACCAGCGATGTTTGTCATTTTAGCAACTTAAGATCATGAAAAGTTTGTCGTCCTCCAACATTGCGCCAACTAAGCAAAGTTGCCATCCTGCATCATTGATTGCAAGCAAAACTGAAGTTACTCAGCCGTCCATGTTAGGCAGTAAATTTATACAAGCAGTAAAATGCTCGTCAACTCACCGACAAAGGACCTACATTCCAGTTCAAGGGAATGTATAA